GTACCTATATTTTCTTCTATATATTTTATGGTTTTAGGTCTTATGTCCAGTTCTTTCATCCATTTTGAGTTGATTTTTGTGCACGGTGAAAGGTAGTGGTCTAGTTTCATTTTTTTTTTGCATGTGGAGGTCCAGTTTTCCCAGCACCATTTATTGAACAAACTGTCCGTGTTCGATGGCATATTCTTTGCTCCTTTGTCACAGATCAGTTGTCCATATAAGTGTCATTTTATTTCTGGGCTCTTTATTCAGTTCCATTGGTCTATGTGTCTGTTTTTGTTACAATACCAAACTGTCTTAATTATTATGGCTTTGTAGTATAGCTTGAAGTTTGTAAGTGTGATACCTCCTTTCTCTTTTGTTTTCATCAGTAGGGCTTTGGCTATTCATGGTTTTTTTGTGGTTCTATATGAATTTCATCAGTATTTGTTCTATTTCTTTGAAGAATGTCATTGAGATTTTTATTGGAATAGCATTGAATCTTTATATTGCTATTGGTAGGATAGACATTATTAAGGGAGAATGCTTAATGCTGCATGGGCCTAGATTCTCTTCAAATACTTTAACGGAAACAGCATACTACAACAAACTAAAGGTAGAAGTAAATACAAGAATTCAACCTTCTTTTAGGCTGTATAGTAAAGAGATTTGCAAACAATGTAAAATAGTGCTACTCTACTCACTGTTTTCTTGTTTTGTAAAATACTGCTTAACAAAAAATCTTCATTATATTAACAGCTAATGGATTTATTGTTACTTTTACTGAATTAATAAATATTTTTGTCTCCATTTTAATTTGAAAATAAGCACTGGTAGTTATAGCCCTGGAAACAAAAACTGATATTCTCAGTAATTATAGTCTAACACTGTTCTGAACTTAAAAAGTCTGAAAACTGTTCCAGGAGGCAAGATCATGATCAGCTTGTCCCACTCATATACATAGTAATTTTCTCCTAGTTCTTTAGTGTCTCCCTATTAAATATAAGAAGATAATGGTCACCAGATATTTAAGGGATACAATATTAAAAATATATTTTAATATACAAAGAAGAAACCAATACAAATAAAGAGAAAGGATTATTCAAGGAAAATAAAATTTAGCTAATATCAATGTTCCCATAAAAATTAAAGGAATATTTTGACCATTACACAGGAAGAGGATGCTATTAAAAGTGCGCATCCAGAGTATGAAATGTGGTAATAAAAAATAATAAAGGGCTTGGAAGATAAAAATGAATAATTCTTTCCATATCTAGAACATAAAGACCAATAAATAAAAAATAAGGAAGAAAAGATAAGAGAGAACAGTCTAGGAAGTTCAATATCTGAAAAAATCAGAATTCTTATGAAAGAAGAATAGAGAAAAGACTAGGTAGGAAATCTTTTTTAAAGATTTATTTATTCATTTATACAAGCACTGGGTACAGTTACAAGCGTGGGGGGGGGTGAGATAATTCACAGGCAGACTGATGAAATACACTGCTGAGGGGAGCAGCGGGCATGGCAGGAGAGGTCTGCGCGCCATGAGGGACCCTCCCTGGCAGCCGGGGATTGAACCGGTGCTGCAAAGGCTGTGGGCAGCTTTGCAGCCCAGCGCTCAACTGCTGCGCCACCAAGGGAGGCCCTAGGTAGGAAATTTTTGAAGAAATAATGTAAAAGAAGTTTCCTTTTATAAGGTACTTCTAGCACAAAGAATAAAAATAAACTCATACCAAGACACATTGTGATATTTCAAAGAGAATATCCAAAATGCCTCCAGCGAGTAAAAGCAAGACACATAAAGTATCAGGGATATTAATAGAAGATGACTTCTCAAAAACAACATTGGAAGCTAGGAACACGCCTTCACAATTCTGTGGGAAAATCAGAATTCTGTAATCAACCAAAGTATCAATCAACTGTGAGAGTAAAATATACTCAAATGTGAGCAGAGAAGGAAGAGGATATGGAATCCAGGAGAAGATATGCAAATGACGAAGAAAGTGAAAATTTCCAGGATGGAGTGCCCAAGAAAACAACTGTCTGAGGGAGTGAAAAGTAACCTGTCTAGATTACGACAGGATAGGTCAGAAAGATCTAAGAGAAATGTCAAGAAGATGAAGTGGTAGCACGGGGTTAAAGTAGCAAGCAGTGCAAAGAAAAATGAGCAAATGAGCAAACCAAGCAACATTCGGTCAATCTAGGGAGAACAGAAATACTGATTATCTGAACAATTAGGCTTGAAAGTAAATTCTCATTAGCTCTTCCCAAAAGAGAAGAGAAAAAGAGAAGAGCTCTTTTTCATAAGCTCTGAAGAGCTATTTGAGTAAAGTAGTTGCATCTATAAGTTTGATAAAAGTATAAAATAATTAAAAAAAAATAGCATCCAGGTTCTTACGATGATCTATAAAAGCTTGACTTTCTTTCCTCCTGCCCTTCACATCCCACTTTCACGTCAGTCTAGAGACCCGGGCGTCCTTGCTGTTTTCTCATACTCAAGGCCTTTGCTTTGCTTTTTATCTTCCTGCAACATTTTTCTCATATTGTTACTTTGCTCACTTACTTGCTCATTTATACTCTCCCTTTAAATCTTTGATCTAGTGTTCTCAGTAAACTCCTTCACTCTTGAACATCTCACTATGCTTTACTTTTCAGAATGATACTTGACATTTTATCATTTCTCTCCATTTCTAGATTTTTGTCATCTTTGCTCCTGTATCACAGGCACTTCCAACAGTCTCAATTATAGTCAGGGTTTGATAAAAACTTTTTAAATAAATGAATAGAACAAGTATACACTAATTTAAAAACAAATTCTCTGAAGAGGAAATATAAGTGGGTAAGAAACATAAATAATCTCACAAATCATTAGAAAAGTGCAAGTTATATAGCTATATATGTGTGTGTATGTGTGTGTGTGTTACATCTTTGTTCATTTTTGTACAATGCATGCTTCTATGCATACTCCTTTCAGGTGTATTCCCTGTAAAATTCCCACCACCAATTCACCCATGAACCATCACTGTAGACCCTTGTGTTCTTCTCTCCCTTGTTTTGATTCCTCTACCTCCCCCTCCCTTGTAGAATGTCTCTGATTTATAGTTTCCTGCTATTTTTTAATTTATAATTATTATTATTTTCCCTTATGGTTCCCCTATATTCTTCCTCTAAGTAAAAAAATCCAATATTTTTCATTTTCCTTCTGGCTTACTTCACTGAGCATAGTCCCTCTATCTCCATCCAAGTTTCTGCGAATGGCATTAATTTACCTTTTTTGATTGTTAAATAGTAGTCTACTATGTATATATACTAAAGTGCAAATTAATGCAATGGAATCATTTTTGTCCAGATGAGCAAGAATGTTGATAATTTCACTAGCAAGGATGAAAAAGTAAATTTGTAGTCTTTTAATATGCAACTATAGGAGGGCACATATAGTATGTGTAAGGACACTGAGCAGTGATTGTGCTAGTGAAAAAATAGAAACAACCCACATGTCGGTAGAGACATTGTTAAATTCCATAACATTTTTTAAAATAATACGCAACACGTTTTTTAAAAGGGGCAGTTGTATATTTTATGTCATGGCTCCATTTGTGTTTCACAAAACTGAAGACTAAATTTCTAGATTTATGAACATACATGAAAATACCTGGGAAAAGATCTAATAGCATATATCCCGACATTCTCTGTCATCTTCTTGAGTTACTTATTATTCATTTAACATCTGTTTCTTGAGCCTGGGTTGTCTCTTATGTGCTAAGAAACATAGCAGTGAGCAAAATAGTAAACCGCGCCTGCTCTCATAGAGTTGACATCCTAGCAGGAAAAAACAGATCATGAACAACAAACAAGTAAATACATCATAGATTAGATGATGAGAAGTGCTCTGAAGAAAAGTAAAACAGGGTAAGAGTGATAGGAAGTACACAAGAGGGTGAGGACACTTGTGTTGTCGAAGAGAGTATTCTGCCATAATGGACAAGTCTTGTACATTTGTACTGTGAATAATGTAAGCCACTGATCTCATGTAGCTGTTGAACATTCCATATGTGGATTGTGCAACTGAGAAGTGGAAATTTAAATTTTATTTCAATTAATTTAAATTACACCTGTGACTGATTTCTATCATACTGGTCAGTGACTTTATATGGGATAGTCAAGGAAGTCTTCATATGACTAACACTTATATGAAACAAAGGAGCTAACTAGCCATGTGTTCCAGACAGAGTGAGCAATAGGACCTCACCTGGCATATGAGGATACAGGTCTTGGAGGCCTGAAAGACTGGAGCAGAATAGGCAAGGCTAAGAGTACAAGGGGATGAAGCCAGAAGAAACAGAAGGGAGACCATCACCAAAAGCCCTTAGGTGGGTAGAATATGACCTGGCTAGTTCTCCGTGAGGTGTGAAGCCATTGCAAAGCTTTGAGTGATAAAGTGATCTGAATTTTTTAAGGGATTGCTATAGCTGTTCTGATGATAAACAGTGGGAGTGTGGGCAGAAGCAAGGAAAATGTGAAGAGATAGCTATAGTATACCAGACTGGAGGTTACTAGTTAGAAAGTCAAGAATAATTCATCAGTAATTCAGCATTCATAGTGATGAAATTGTTGTGAGGTAATGAGATGAACTGACAATGTTTACTGATGTACAAGACAGGGAGCTTGACAGAAAGGAAGGAATCAAGGATGGACTTAAAAGGTTTTGGCCTGAGCAAATGAGATCAGGAACACTGGGCAAAGATTAGATTTGGAGAAGATATTAGAGTTGTTTGAGGAATGATAAGTTGGAGGTGATGTTAAATTTAGTGATGTTAAAATGGGAACTGCTGCAATCAGGCTTCTTCCCAGAGAATTCATAAGATAAGAGAGTTCCAAGATGGTGGTTGGGGTAGTCCTCATTATATGAGGGTCAAAGCAACTGACCTGTGACCAATTTTTTCAACGTCAAGTTTTTATGTCTTTATTTAGATGTGGTTCTGAGATTTGGGTAATAATTTCTTATTTTATTTATTCCATAGAATGATTCCGGAGCAAGTAAGGTCCCTGTCACAAGTTTGTATCCCACTTATTACTCTGCCAGATTTTGAACCACTGGTGGAGGCACTCCTGACCTGCCATGGACATGAGCCTCAGGAAATACTCTGTCGTGAGTTCTTTGATGCTGTGACTGAAGCCCTATTGCTGTAAGTAATGCCCATTTACCCTGTCATCCATTTCTGAGAATACTTCCCCTGTGTTCGAGATGCCTTTTTCAAATATTTTGACCTCAAGTACCATTTTACACCTTAAAAATTAAGGATACCAATTAATGTTTTTTAAAAATTGTATTATATCAATATTTACTATATTTGAAATTAAAACAGATGCTTTTAAAATATTTACTCATGTTAAAATAAAAATAAATTGATCATATGTTAACACAAATAGCATAATTTTATGGAAAAAATGCTCTTTTCCTAGGAAAAAATAATTTTAACCAGAGTGACTTTTTTTTTACAATTTTGCAAATGTCATTATGGTCTGATTTAAAAGGAGACAGCTTGTTTCTCATACAAGTTTCTGCATTGAGTCTGATACAATATGTTGTTTTATTTGAAATACATCAAGAAAATCCAATTTCACACATATGCATAGTTGAAAAAGACAGGAATATATTATATGCCACCTCAGATAATTGTGGGTATTTTCCTTGGATATTATAGTGAAGCAACCAAGTGCAGGGCAGGCAGGCAAGCAGGTAGACAGGGCAGGGGGGCGGGCTGGAGGCCTGGGAGGCTTCCTAGCCAATCTTCACAGTCTTTCTCTGTTCTCTCTCACATACTCTCTCTGGCATTCTCCTTCTGTCTTTCATACCACCTCAGCTCCTTGGCACAGGTGTCCCCATTACATGTGCATGTGCCTCTGCTCTCTAGACTCAGGTGTCCATAATTACAGGTGCACACGCAAAAATACAGGTGCCGATCATAGATGCTAATATAATAGTAAGAGGGTGTAAAAAGCCTGATTTTTAGCTCATTTACGCTACAGATAGCACACCAAAATTTGAAAATGGTGGCTTTTTAAAGGTTAATTGTGATGTGGAATCTAAAATTACATCAATAAAACTTTCACAGTGTTACATTAAAACCCATTGGTCTTGCATTTTTAATGGATCATCTGCCCAAGTTGGACATAGTAACCTCACACATGATTAATTTGAAAAATATTGATTTATTAAATATGCAAATCTTCTAAACTCCTTAATCTTTTGCTTGTCAGAAAAGACCTTTATGTCTCCATTATATCTGAAAAAGAATCTTATAGGATACAGTATTTTTGACTGCCAGCTTTTATCTTTGAGTATTTTGAATATATCATTCCATTCTCACCTTGTCTGTAGAGTTTCTGCTGAGGTATCCAATGTAACCCTAATGGCATTGCACTTATAACTTACCTAATTTTTCTTCTAGCTGTCTCTAGTATTCTTTCTTTTTCTTGAACTCTTACTAGTTATGCTACTATGTATCTTTTTTTTAAATATTTATTTATTTATACAAGCACTGGATACTGTCAGAAGCTCAGGAGGGTGAGAGAATTCACCAGAACCAGAGCGGGGAACAGTACAGGCAGACTGATGAAATACACTGCTGAGGGGAACAGTGGGTGTGGCAGGAGAGGTCTGTCGTGCCATGTGGGACCCTCTCCGGTGGCCAGGGATCGAACTGGTGCTGCAGAGGCTGCGGGCAGCTTCGCAGCCCAGCACTCAACCGCTGCACCACCAGGGGAGGCCCTACTATGTATCTTAATGTAGGTCTTATTGCATTTAGATAGCTAGGTGTTCTTTTAGCTTTGTGAACTGGTATATTCCTTCCCTGGGTGTGGAAAGTTTTGTGTATTATTTCCTTGAATAAGTTCTCTATATCCCGCCCTGCACCCCCCCCCCTTCCCATTCTGTAATACCCATTTTTCTTATGTTGGCTTTCTGCTTTGTAGAGTTCCCTACAGCTGTTGAGTTAGGCACAAACCATCTTTGGGTACTCCTGAGAACTGGCACTGCACTGGATAAGGGAGTATGCAAGTTGATGTCCAGGATGGAGGTTTTACTTTTGGAGAACTGCTGGGTGGGTGTGCACAGTGAAGATTATTGACTTGAATCTGAGGTTCTCAATGTAGATAGCTGGCACCTGAATTGTTAGGGAGAAGCAGGTTGAGCACTTAGGTCTCAAAGAAGAGGCAGCTACTCAAAGACCAGGCTCAGATATTCAAAATAGGTGCCAGCCTGGAACCTAGGGCTAAAACCAAAACACTTGAACAATCTAGACCTCCAGTACCTTTTAGTAAGAGGAACAAACACCCCAGGGTAAAGCTTTGGGCTGGAAAAGAAATAAGAACAACTCCCACCCTTTGACGCGCTATCAACTACAAACCATGTCTAGTCCTACATCTAGTGCTTAAAAATAGCCAATACTATAAGAACCTAAGGTTGGAGGTGCCAGTCTATGAGAGTTTCACTGTGGATTCCTACCATACACCTCAGGTCCCCACGGCACAGTAGGAAGTCCGTATGCCTGAGTTTACTGAGGTGATCCGTTGGTGCCTCCCTGCCCTGGTCCTCTTTCATACCTACTACTCTTCACCAGGGCCAGTCCTCAGATAATATCAACAGGTGCAAAGGCAACAGTCTGAAATCTATGGCTATTCCAACCCATAAAAAAGTAAAAGTGAGGAAACAGAAGAACACACCACAAACACCAGAGTGAAAAAACCCAAAGAGAAGCCCAACCCAGCAGAACTGAAGAATGTGGCAGAAGAATTCAAGGTAACAGTTCTAACCATGCTTCTGGAACGCAAAAGATTTTTTTAAAAAAACAGAATATAAAACAACAGAATAAAGATAAAGAAAATATGAAATAGCCACAATTAGAAATAATGGAGCTAAGAAACGCTATAGCTGATTTTAAAACATTTGAGGGCCTCAACAGCAGACAGACACAACGGAGAAAAATAATGAGTTCAAAATACATGGTGGGTGGGCCTCCCCGGTGGCGCAGCGGTTGAGCGCTGGGTTGCGAAGCTGCCCGCGGCCTCTGCGGCGCCAGTTCGATCCCCGGCCGCTCCCCGGCCACCGGAGGAGGGTCCCACATGGCGCGCAGACCTCTCCTGCCGCCCGCTGCTCCCCTCAGCAGTGTACTTTGGTCCTTCTGCCTGCTCTGCTCCCCGCTCTGGCTCTGGTGAATTCTCTCACCCTCCCACACTTCTGACTGTACCCAGTGCATGTATAAACAAAACAAACAAACAAACAAATAAATAAATAAAAGCATGCCTCCTCTATTAAAAAAAAAAAAAAAAAAAAAAAAAAGAAAACTAAAAACAAAATACATGGTGGGAGAATACACAAAGAGAATATAGAGGAAAAAAGAAAAAAATGTTAAATTTGTATACGAGCCCTTTGGACATGTTAAAGAGAAATAAAATTTGTATCATGGGAAGGCCCAAAAGGAGAAGAAAAACAGAAAGGCCTACAAGATTTATTTAAAGAAATAATTACTGAAAATGATCTCAATCTGGTCAATGAGCTTGTGATCCAGGAGACCCAAAGAGTTCCAAAGAAAATAATACCAGGCAGACACAAACCAAGACACGTTATAATAAAGCTGTGAAAACCAATGACAAGAATAGAACATTAAAACATCAAGAGAAAAAATCGTAACCTGTAAGAAAACACCAATTAGATTGTCAGTGAACTTTTCAATAGAAAAATTACAAGCAGGAAGGGACTAGAAGGAGAAATTTAAAGTACTGAAAGAAAAAGACTTCCAGTCCTTTACCCAGCAAGATCAAATTCAAGACAAAAGGAAGAATAAGGAGCTTTGCTGAAAAGCAAAAACTGAAAAATTTATCAACACCCACCTCTATGTGAAAGAAATTCTAAAGGTGTTATTATAAAGCGATAGAACAATGAATATTGATGCAACAAAAACCTAAATCACTTAAAGTGGAGGAGGAAAAAAGTAACATGGTGTCCCATCAAAACAAGTCACATCTACAAAACAAGACATCTACAATGTCACATATAGCCTGTCATATACTAACTTCAGTACAATACTCAAACAAAATTAGTAGAAGTAACACATAAGACAGCAGTAATGAAATTTAAACAAAACCTAAAAGGGAGCCCTTAAAAAATAAAAAAGATAAGACAAGCCCTAAAAGCCTACCCAAACAAAAACATAGCAAAAGGCAGTGAGAACTTAAGTCTCAATATCACATCAAGGCAATTATGTGTAATTCCCTTGACTTCCTTACACTTTGTTGTAATGGCATTTCATCTTTCCTTATGTAGAACAGTATTCCATTGTATGGATAGACCATATCTTAATCCTGTCCTCTATCATTGAGCACTTTTGTTTTTTCCATGTCCTAGAGTTTGTAAACAATGCTGCAGTAAACATTGTAGAGTATGTAATTTTTGGAGTTGATGGCTTCATGTTCTTTGGATAGATGCCCAAAAATATGATTGCTGAATCATATGGTATTTCCATTTTTAGTTTTTTAAGGTAAAAACAGACCACTGAAAATATGATATTTATTCCATTGTATTGTCCTTATTTCTTTGTCAAAAATCAGTTGACTGTATTAATTTGGGTCTATTTCTGTGCACTCTATTTTATTTCCTTGACCTGTTTGTTGTGCCAGTTTACTGCATCTTTATAATCTTGCTGGAAGTTTGACTGATACTGCAATGAATCAGTAGATCAAGTTGGGAAAAAATGTTATCTTGATAATATTGAGTCTTCTTATTCATGAATATCTATCCATTTATTATTTGATTTTGCTGATCAGAGTTTTGTGGTTTTCCTCATATTGCTGCTGTATATGTTTTGGTATATTTATATCTAAGTATTTCGTTAAGGAGGGGAAACCTAATGCAAATGGTTGTTTTCTGGTTTTTGTTTTGTCAGTTCTTACAGATTTTGCACATAGATGATCATGTCACCTGCAAGTCAAAACAGTTTTATTTCTTCCTTCCCTGTCTATATTGCATTTATTTCCTTTTGTGTTCTTTTTGCATCCACTAGAAATTCTAGTACTATGTTAAAAAACTGGAATAATGGGCATGTAACTGATCATAGTGGTCATGCTTCAGTTTCTCACCATTAAGAATGATATTAATCTAAGCTTTTTGTAAGTATTCTTTATCAAT